AACACAAGGTCGTCACCACCGCACCCGGAAGGACTTCGACGCGGACGATGTAACACCAGCACTTGGAAACACAAAAAGACCGTCTCCAACTCCCTGAACTGAACCATGAATCACACACAGTCGCCAACAATGCTTTCTAGCGATCCGATTCCAAACGATCCCAAACCCAACAATGCAAACAACTGCGAAGCAACCTCCTCCCCTTTTACGTCCACCCCACACTAGGTCTTTACAGTCGAAGAAACTTTTTTGACTCACTTCCAATTTGCAGTGACGCTTGGCTAATGCAATTTCCCGATGTTTTTATGCGAACAATTTCTCGGACAACACGTCTCATCTCCTCACGCTCTTTGTGTACGATTTCTGTCTCTGACCAGTTCGCTGTACATGCATTACACTCCTGGAGATGCCTCGCTAGTTCAGAGTTTGAAGCGTTAATCCGCACATTCCGTCTATGTTCTGTCAACCTATCGCTAATGCATCTTGCAGTCTGACCAACATATTTAAAGCCGCATTCCAAAGGAATTTCATAGACTACTCCACTGACACATGGAAGAGATCTGTCGCGATGCATATTTTACACTATTTCTGTCCTGCCTCAAAAGGAGTCAGTTTAGCTAATTTGAAATCACATGTGAAAAGGGTGTTAACCCCAAATCTCTCTTCACATGCCTTCAAGTTATGCAAAATGGCGTGAAAATATGGAATGGCAGCCCGTCGGATTTTGACACTTGGTTTATCTTCGATCTGTACAGCAAGCTGCCGTTTCATGAAGGATTCTTGATAGCCGGCCCTCTCCAGTCATCCCCATTGTCTTTTCAAAGACTGCTCCATGTAATGAATGCATGACCTTTGTAGAGCGTTCTGGGTCGGAGACCTCACTACCCCTGCCTTTACAATTTTAGAATCACAACCCTGCTTCGATAGGACGGGTTGTGGCCGCCTGCGTCCCATATTCCCAACACAGCCCACTGCCCACATGAATGCGTAAATCCAAAAATTGAATGACATTGTCCTCCGGTTTTTCCACAGTGAAACGCAGCTCCGGGGCCGCTGAACTTATTACATTTTGCAGAGTATCCGAAAGTTTCTCTTGAAAAGTGCACACAATTATATCATCTACATATCTTCGGACTGAACCTACATCTGGGGGCAACTCTCTTGTCTTCTCAGCCACAACTCTGTCTAGGGTGTTGAGATAAAACTTGGCCAAAAGTGGCGCGACCGAGGATCCTATACAGACACCCTCCTGCTGTACGTACATCCGTTCATCATACTCAATAACTGTTGACTGCAGGTATCGGTCCGGAACTATGAGAAAACCATCTACCGACACTGCCGACTCTGACTGAAATTTCACTAGATTTAGCTCTAACCGTTCCTTTACCGCCGACATCAGTCTTTTCTTTTCAAGAGAATAATATAGATCCTTCATGTTCACTGAGCAAACTGAACACTTCCTACCGTGATTGTTATCCATGACATCAATAAGCTCTCCTGAGTTTCTCAAGGATAGAGAATGCACAGATAGTACCGCGCTCCACGCGGAGCGGTGTTCGCACTCATAATGATCGTGATAGTACGCCTGCACCGTGTCGGCCGTGAACTGGCTTGACGAAAAAAACTAAGTAAACGACGACGTGAGCCATCCACGTTGGTGGCAGCAACTTCATGTCGGAACTCCAGCAGGCCTTGTTTACGGCCTAAAGATCATCGAAGGCAACGCCGTCCACGCACAGTTTATCTCGATACCGCTGCCGTTCAGGCTCGGGTAGCGAGCTAATATAGTCGGGCATACGTTGACAGGAAGTACGACGCACAAATAAAGCTAGAAGCGTCTCTACAACGTCAACAATGAGCGCACGCCACACAACGCAATGGCCAAAACACGAAGAGCCTGGCCGCTTCTGCCCACTTATCTTCTGCGCATGCGCGGCCTTCCAGCCGTGTTGGTAAACAGAGCCGCGCCGCGTGTCGGTCTATTCGCATGACCATTGGGAAGCGCCACACACGTCGCCCGTAGGGAAACACTAACACTAACCCCGTAACGAGGCTAAAAAGAGGCAGCAAAAAATAGAGGAGGAAAAAGAGAAAGGCAAAGAGAAAGCCAAAAGAGAAAAGTTAAGGGGTCAGCGTTAGCATTTTTCAAAAAGGGTCGTGCGTGACATTTTGAAAGGGTCATGCTGAATCATTCCCTAAGAATCCACCAACAGGCCATCCTGTAATTTTTTTGTTTTAACATTACGGGGTTCGGTTGTTTCTTTAGGTACCTGACGCAGCATCGGTGCATGTCCAAGCCCCAAGCAGACAAGGAAGACGACGAGATGGACGCGCTTGAACCACCAAAGCCTCAAAGTGCCGTTATCGAAAAGCCGCCCGAGAAAGCTAGCGCGAAATTTCCACCGACGACCACCCAGGAACAGCAGCAGCAGCAGCAGCTTGAGAAAGAACCTGCCGAAAACAAGGCCGACGATGCATTCGCGTACTCCGACGAAGCGTTACAAGAGCTCGAAGAGGAGTTTATGCTCAGCGACTGCCCGGTCAATTGCCAGTTGCTCATTCTGCTTGTCGTGACTCTGGCCATCAATCTCCTTCTTCTCTACTATTTCTTCAGCAAACTAAGTGAGTCACCAAAAAACAGAAATAAAGGAAGACACGAGAGTTGAGGTTTCGAATCTGGTCCCTCGCGTTAGGCTTTCACAGAGAAAGGGAGTTCGTGTCCGTTGAGCCAATATCACTTAGAAGGCCTAGAAGACAAGGTGTGCGCGTGACGTCATCGTTTGTGGATTTTCGATCCACCCCAAGCGGCAAACACGCCGACGTTTGGCGAGATTAGAAAGCAAAGGGATGCATACGCGCGCGTGTGGCATCGCCGCTTATTGGGGCGCGTTGTGAGATGCTGCGAGACGCGCTGGCGATGTCGCTGCCGTGAGCTAGATGGTGCTGCGTGGATCCACTTGTGATGACGATTCAGGAGAAAAAAATGTAGGCCTTAATTGTCTTTTAAGTGATGTTGGTTGAGCTATCGGGTAATGAAAGTCTCCTTCACACCTATGCATTTAAGTGTGATTGACCGCGTTAGAGACGGCATGTGACCGCTGGCGACGAGAGAACACCTTGGCGCCATCTATCAAGTAGCCTGAAAAACTAATTCTTATGTGCGTGTAACTAGAGTAACTGCGTAACGCTTGCGTAATAGAACTATAGTTTTGTAGTATTTGCGAAATCAAATCTACGTGCTATTTATGAGAAATGGTCGCTTATAACATTGCCAAAATCGTTCTAACGTCATAGTAAAAGAAAAAGCACCTAAACAAAGAAAATATAAGCAAATATGAAGTGTTTCATGTTTATCAGATAGATGGAGCATCTTATCGTGAGAGGTACGTAGTACTTTTTGAGTAACATGTATTCATTTATGTAAACCGTTTAGTTAATGTATTTTTTCTTTGCACGTTACTTCCAAGAAGTGAAAGTTCTGGCGAACTGGTTAGGAAACGTCAAAACACAAACCCTGTGACAGGGAGAAAATAAAATAACGGGCAAGACGGCACATAACATCCTCGTGTCGTCTTGTCCGTCATATAATTTCTTTCCTGTCTCAGGGTATAGATTATGATGTTATACTTTAATTATTTTCTTAACCTTCAGCACCATTTGCCGAGCACTCGGGGCCCCGGCCTCATTAAGCCAACAAATATATTTTTTCAATGCGATGGCCTTCTTGAGCTACTTCAGTCGGTTTTCGCGATACATGATCTGGCCTCGAATGCGCCGTGCATATTGCGGCGCGAGTATGTGCCAGGCATACGCAAGCGCCGCGCGTATGCGGAGCGACAGTACGCAGTCCTTCACATCCGCACCCTCTTCGAAGGACCTGACGTCCTCGACGTCGTTCTAGAGGTCGTCTGAGTGGTCGTACTAGACGCCACCTTCGACGTCGTCCTCTAGGAAGTCGTCCGAGACGTCGTTCCTGAGGTCGTCCTAGAGGTTTCCATCGAGATCAGCCTAGAGGTCACCCTAGAGGTCGTTCTAGACATCGTCTTTGACGTCGTCCTCTAGGACGCCGTCCTTGAGGCCGTCGATGAGATCGCCCTAGAGGTCGTCCTCCAGGACAGCCAAGCTACGAAGGAATTATCGGGTTGCGTTGAGCTAGTTCGTACAAGGTGAACGATGGCGGTGAAACAGCTTGAACAATTAACAGTTACACAGAGACAGGACAAGACACACACACGAAACTGCAATGATGGCGAGGAAACAGCTTGAGCGTTCAAACGGTTAACCAGAAACAGAAGATTAAGCGATTATACATGGGCGAAGCAATCACTCAGTTTTGAAGTGGCACGGTGCAGTCGCACTGATGTCAATGATTGCGTCGCAAACCATTCATAAAATAAAATGTTCACAGAAAATTTGAGTCGTCGCATTCACAGCGAGCTCTGTCGTGAGTCCCATGACGAATGCTATCGCAATTCATAGAGAACCAAAAATAGTTTTTTTTTTGTATCTGTCTGTACATGCAGGTGCAAATAAAATTATTGTATTTCATTTGATTCCACACGGTGGCAGCGCAGTCGATCAGACCCGAACACAAATGTGGGAACCAGCCTCAACGGTATCGCGTTTAACTCGTTAGGTTAGAATTTGGCTTGACGCTTCAATAAGACGTGACATGAAAAAGCTGAGAATTTATTATGTGACAGCTGGGTAATAATTTTAAAGATAATAAGAGAATTGATAGATGAAAGCTGCGGCAGCGCCTCAATAATCGCGGTTGAGAACGACGTCACGACAGGTTTGTTAAACATTATATAGCAAGTATAATAACGAGATAAACCATCGATTCATGTAGTTGTCCCCGCACAACCGCACAAAAGAAGAATGAGAAGAACCCGCGTCATAGTAATTTCCCGCCGAAGGTGGAGCTTGCCCATTGTTCACTTGTACAGGGTGTGCCATGAGCGCAATGTTTACGACGAACCCTTGTTTCTCGCAGTGTACGTCATGCTGACGTTTATCATGATCGGCTCCGTGGTATCCCTGGTGGTCATCTTCGACGCCGTTTCTTTTCCAATGGCCTGCATCAGCGTCAGGTGAGGACAGTGGCAACCGCATAAATAGTGTTATTAATTCCGATTCCTGAAACGTGTTTCTGATGGGCGTTGCATTCGACAGCTTTTAGCACAGGAGCGTCTCCGAGACGACGGCAAGATATGTCACAGGAGTCGCCGAGAAAGGCTACAGTTTTGCCCGCGTTGCTGAGTCATCGCCAGGGTCAAGGCGCATGCCACATTTGTGACGTCACTATACAAATTTTTAAGAAAGCGTCTCGGGGAGTGTTTCCTCCAGCCGCACCACGGTTGCGAACGCGGGATGGCCGGACTTGTGATATGACACGCGCAGACTGCGATTTTTTTTAATGAAACTTCATAAAGACGCATGCATGCTGACATTCACTATTGTTTATATCGAGGGGAACAAAGATTAAGTGTTACGGTGTTTGATTTTTATCAGCTCGCCTGCGTCATTTGTCGCTATATTCAAACAACAACCATTCACTATTTATAAAAAAAGCGATTTGTGGGAACGTTACGGTAAGCTTGAAAAAAAAATTAGGAGCTGGTGATTTCCCACGTTGGTGATCCGAGATTTGCGCAGAGGCGGATTTAGAGGGGGGGGGGGGGGGTCGGATGCTTCCTCCTTTATTGAATTCTGCATGCGTAAATTTTAGGGCGGGGCAAAAGGGGGCAGGGGGAGGTGTTTTCCCAAACAATTGATATGCTGACACCTCTCGCCTAACTCTGGAAAGACCTGCATCCGCCCTAGCTTGTGCGTTAAATTTATGTCCGAAATTTTAGGTTTCTGAAAATGCGTGTAAAACGTCAGACAAGGCTCTTAGTTCCCAAGGACCATACATTATTAGATAACATTGCACGAGCAACTTCGCAAGCATAGTTTGCTTTTTCTGTAACCGTTTTTTTAGAGGGTATAGTTTTATGTCTTTAAACATTTACCGTTGGCAAGTCGTTCCAAAAGACCTATGAAATTTATTGCTGTGATATCGTTATCAATTATTAGTTGATATGATGTCCTAATTCTAGCTGTTGTACTGATATACCGTTGAACCGTTTTTGTAGAAAGTGATACAACGTACTGTAAGGTATGAACGAAGTGGTAGTGCCCGCGAAAATCTCTGCGAACGTGGCAGGTTAGAGATTGAAAGCATTTTTTTTTTAGCAATGCAAAGCACAGCTTTGCTCGAGATATTTTAAGCTTCCCGATAGGATAGCTGCGATGTCTTGGAAACTACAAAATTCTGTGTGTCGAATGTGTATACGGCTGCCTGTTTCCTAACCGTGACAAGGTTCACAAGTCTGAGTGGTGTTAAATCTGTAATATATCCTCGGCGCTTGCCACCAACACGTCTCAACTTATCAGGTGTGCATGCACCCTCGCAACTCTTTTTTTTTTCTAAAACAAATAGTAAAATGAAAATATTCCAGCCGATTCACGATCGGTCTACTACAACTCCCTAACGATGCGCCATGAGGGAGTTGCAGTAGACCGTTTTCACAGACCGCTAAGCACCCGGATAGCGCTCCGTAATCCGCCACAATACCTTGAACTATGCAGGCAGAGCTGGCGGCGCGCATGCGCAGTTGTGGTGTTTTCTTTACGGATACCGTGGCGGAGGAGAAAAACAATCTACTACAACACCCTATTGCACTTCTACATCTTAAAGCACAACGCAGCATGCAGTTTTGATTTTATATGAGAAAAGCCTTCAGTAGCGTTGATTTTACCTATGCGGAACGCAAGTTCGTCTGCTTCTTTTGCAGGCGTTGCTGTGACATCAGAACTCCGAGCTCTGATTGGCTCTGATTGAGAGATAGTGGGTAGACCTCAAAGCGAGCTGCCTCGAGGTCTACCTTCTATCTTTCAATCAAAGCCAATCAGAGATCGGCGTTCTGACGTCACAGCAACCCCTGCAAAACAAGCAGACGAACTTAGCCCCTGTCAGGAGGTCTTTCAGTTGTCCCGCCTCCAGCGCGAGCTTCCTACTTTTGATGGCGCTTTGGCGTCGCATCAGCCTTGAGCGTGCGCGCGCAGCCAAAGCACGGCGGAATGCACCGAGAGCGTGCTGAAGGCAGGGAGTTCGATGCAGACCGTCACGGTGTTCTCATCCTGTCAGTTAATATCATGGGAAACGGCAGACTTGTACGTAACGCCTTACTTGTACTTAGCAACTTTTTTGTGAATGAAGTAACGACCTAGTTAGTTTTTAAGACAAGGAACGAGTAACGTATTTTAGCAACTTTTTGATGTAGTAAGGAGTAACGGTATTTAGTAACTTTTGGAGGGGAACGTGAACAACACTAGTTCACCTCAACTTGGGTCTATAACTTGCGCGACAAGCAAACACGATTGGTGGATCATAAAAAGACGCGAACAATGTATGCCAGTATAGCCACAGTTGTCCTCGAATGAACGCGTAAATAATAATACTTTAGAGTAAAGGCCCGTTCACACTCTTGCAACCGAGTACGACCGAGAGAGACCAGACCGGTTTTTAATCCTCTTGCGATCTCTTAGGACCAGCCCCGCTGCAGCGCATCCGGTTCTAAGAAAACCGGTCTGGTCTCTCTCGGTCGTACTCGGTTGCAAGAGTGTGAACGAGCCTTAAGGAGAAAAAATTCCGCGTTGCTTTCAACATGATGAAGTAACGCGTCCCTTTTAAATTGAAGTAACGATGCAAGCGTCTCAGTTACCTTTCGAGTGAGTGAGCGGCAACGGTATTTAGTTACTTTATTTCAGTAACGTTTACACGTCTGCTTGCAGGTTGCCGAACCTGCTGTTCCCCTGCTTCGTCCCGAGCATGGAGCTGCGACACCACCTGGTCCTCTTGGCGGCATTGGGAATCCCCACGCTCTGGCTGGTCTTTAAGAGCCACCAGCACGCCTGGGTCCTGCAGAACTTTATCGGCGTGAGCTTCGCCCTAAACATCGTTCGCTGCGCGCACCTGCCCAACTTCAGGGTGAGCGACGACGCGCAGTAGTCTTTTTGTAAATGTGCGAGATTTAACCGATAAATGTGAAAAACAAACTCGGGCAGGGATCAGGGGCGATGAACGGCTCTCACGTTTTGTCTTGGGCACTCTATTCTGCAAACTTCCTTTAGTTGAGTCGTTTGAATTCATACACTGGTAGTATATTTGATAAGATTTGGTAATAGTAGAACTGGATCAGCGCTCCTAAGCCTTTTCCCGTGTCGCAGAGCATGCAAAAAGCTTATCACTTTCACCGAGCTGATGGTGCTCGGTGAAAGTTAAAGAACTAAAATATGTTGTTTTTTTTTTAGTTTTATGCAGTGCTCTATTCTCCCATCGCGGATAGCGCTTATAGCTGATCTGTTTATTGGGCTTTGGAACTGGCTAGGAGTTTTCCCTATACATCGTTGTGATTAACTCTTCATTTGATCTGCGGCGAAATAGACGCGTCGCCATTTTTGTTTAAGTGTTGAACTCATTTTGGCGTAGTGTTCATGCAAGTACTAACATAAACTAGGGAATATAGATGCACTGTAATGATGGGTCCCGCTAAAGAATCAGATGAACACTTACCTGGTATTTAGAGTCATAGTTTCACGGTGTCCTGGTCAGTTCCTTTTATTCAAGTCAGGATTCCTTTCGTTCTCTTTTGTCGAACTCGAGCAAGAACCAAAGCTTTATTTTTTTAACTGCAAAAAAAAAAAAACACAAAAAACAACAACAATTGGTGTGTGTGTGTATTTATACAACCTAGAACTTATTCTGCCTCATCAGACGAGTTGTCTCCCAGCTGTAGATCAGAAATTTAGCCAGTGCAGTACAACCGCAAGCCTGGTGTCTTTAACGTGCATCAAGCAGTAGTGATGTACGACCGGACGCCAGTACAATGTTTATCCAGATCGAAACTGGCAGGGGCGGGGAGGATCCTGGACTCTGCAGCGCGAGCTTTCACTCCACGCGCTCCGAGCTGGGGCCTTAATCTGGAGACTTGGCGAAAAATTCGGCGAGAAATCTGGTGGCTCTGATTGGCCGGCGCCAAGGTCAAGTGCAGCGTTGGCCAATCACGGCCGCCAGATTTCTCGCCGACTTTCTCTCCAAGTGTCCAGATTAGGGCCCCTGGTGTGCGCTAGCCCGCTCGCACACCAGTAAAATAAAAAAAAAAGGGGGGGAAGCCCTTTTTTTTTATTTTACCTGCAATGGGTAAGACTGCAATGGGTAAGACCTGCAATGGGTAAAATGTGGCTCCACAAACGCCAGAAAAAAAAGTGCTTTCAAAAAGGTTCGATGTGAACCTTTAATAATGATAAAGACGCTGTTTTGCCTTGAGGAAAGGAGAGATGCTTCTGGAAATTCCCCTTCACCTAATCTTTCGGTAGGATAGAAAAATTTATCTTCGATATTTTTAAAATGGATGTCATAGTACAGTTTTCTCGTGGACCTTTCGAGTACAGTTTTCAGTTTCTGCCACCGCATTCCACTCAATTTTAGGTTGTCTCGTTTACAGCGTTCAGAGAATATTTTCCTCTTTTTTTTTTGCAGGTTATCACAATGTCCTCTATTCTACTCTTCTTTTACGACATATTCATGGTGTTCGTCACTGGATACCTTCAGGTAAGCGCAAATTACGTGTGGCAGGTATTCACTTTCTACTTGTATGGAGAAAGTATAATTGTTGAAGGTGCGCTCTTCGTATAAGGTATATTAACAATATCAGGGCAAGGAAGCCCACCATCTGTGAATAATAAAAATATTGAATCTCTACAATATCTTATTTAAAAACAAATACTTGTACGATCTAATACTGTCGCCGTGAAGTATGAGCGTAGTGAGCCGTTTCAAGTAAGGGGCCCGACAAAGCAGCTGAGAGGTGTTCCATGGTTTTTCACTACTTAGACGGATAAAAATGACGCTGTCGGGTATTGCGCATCCGTCGCAACATCCACGTGGGTACATATTCGCTGTTGGACGACAAACTTTGCATGAACCTCGTCAAGAGAGAGCCTCTATCATGGCCAAAAATCCTTATTCTGCGCACTTTTCAAAAATTTACGAATGAGTAGATAGATATTTCCAAACCTTCTTCAATAAATACAATAAAAGTTGTGCCGGAGAAAGACTACAGCAGTGACAGGAACGTAGTTTTTGCTAGAGTTATAGCTTATGAAACCTTTAATAGTAGGCCAAATCAGGGTGTCGAACCGGAACCGAACCGAACCGAAAACCGGAACAGAACCGTTATTTTTAGCCGAACCGGAACTGAACCGAACCGAAATCTTTGCCGCCATCTTGGAACTGAACCGGAACCGAACCGAAAAAAAATATAACGGTAACCGGTTCAAAACGGTTCAAGGTAATATTTTTTTTTGTTATTTTCGCAAAATGAACATATTGGAATAAAAATTGGCGGCTGTATTTCTATCTAGGATCAAATCGTCATATATACAGTATTGAAAAGTATGGTAAGTTGTGGGTTTTCATGGCACTATGATTAACCATGTGTCACGTTGTCACGTGACGTCATGGTGTCAATACATGTTGTCACGTGACCTCATGACGTCACGTGACTCACTGCGTCAACTCGATTTAATTTGAGGAAGTCACTAGATTTATTAACATTGTTGACAGCATGACGTAACATGACATCACGATTTCCCACCGAGAGTCACGTGACACCGTGACGTAAGCAATTTTCATAACCCCTAGTCGAGTGCTCAGGTTTATGACAATCAGCACCGCCAAACATTCGGGTAATAACTCATGCCAATGACATATGACAATAGCCCAACTCTAACAATATCTGGAGCTCAGCCCAAGCTTTTGCTTTCCAAACCCTAGCCGCCTAGTGCATGGCTGTGATGAACACTGGCGGTATCAGATCATGTGGCCGCTTGTTTAAATTGCGAGTTGAGGAGATATCGACCGCCGTCTCTTTCCTTTATTTTTTCTGCATCTGCTATTAGGGGAAAACTAAGGGATGTTTCCGCAAGCTGACAACGTTAGGGGTTATTTCTTAACACCATTTATTGAAAGTACAAGAAAAAATGTTGCAAAACCCATTTTACATTATTGAGGCACCCAAATATTTTTTCGTTGTTGCTGAACTGCACCTGAAAGAAGTCCCTGAGAATAGAAGTACTGAAATTACTCAATGCGACTCATTAATTTAACGTTACACAAAACTACACATGTGTACGGAAGGAATACTAAAAAAAATATTTTAGTGACCTCAGAGAGACAGCCGAACGTTAGCAGTCGCTGTAAGTCTCACACGAGTGTCGTTCTGAAGTTATTGCCCAAGTTTCGAATTCCTCTACTTTGCTTAAAGGAGCTATAAAAATATTTCTATACATCACTAAATACTACTCAGGATAACTACCTAACGTTAATAACTGCTTGAACTTGGCTTTGCTATTTTTTCTAGGCAATGGCAGTTACCGAAAAATTTGAGAAATATGAGCATCGTTCAGCCCCTCAACTCGGAACCGGAAGCGGCCATGTGGCCTGGTGCCTATCTTATGCCGCCAGCATTAATCATACCCCGCGATGAGGTTTTAAAGGAAGAAAAAGCGTGCTATGCTTCAGGCATTGTTAGAGTTCGGCTATTCTCATTACCGCAGTTGTTGGACACGAGCCACTACCCAAGTGTCTGCCAAGACAATGATTGTTACGAGCCGATGTACGGTGCTCACGCAGTCCTCCTGTCCGATCCATGAGCCGCGCTCGACTGTCGTCAGGCAGGTGGTTTTGATCCTACAATTGCGACATCAATCTTTGGGAAGGCACGGCTAAAAGAAATAGTCCCATTTAATCCTCGCAATTTCACCGCGACAAAGAAGCTTCTGAATTAGTGGCGGCCTGTGCGAGTATACTTGGGCCAGAGTACTAGTACGCCTCTGAAAAGTCATGAACATTCCAACCCGATGTCGTTTTATGATCCTTCTAAACTTCACGGGGTGCAAAATAAAAGCAATGAAGGGTTGCGGTTAACAAGTGTCAAATAAAATTGTCAAATGAACACACACCAACGGAGGAGGCAATTCCTCGGGAATACTTTCAGCCTTTTCACTCTGGTAAAGCTGTACTATGGTGGGAATGAAGTAATGGCCTGCCGCAAGTCGCCAAGCCAGAGTGGAAGGGCTGGAGAGGTTACCGCCATCTATGCGCGACGGCGGCAGCCAGACAACCGGCAAGCCGGTTGCCTGGTTGCTGTTGTCATTTATAGATGGCGGTAGCTGTCCAGAGTTTAGTGTCATCATTTGTTTGCTGGCGGACACGACACTGGGGAAACTAGCCCTTAACAGCTCCGCTGTATAAACAAGTGCGCGTGTGTGTGCGTGGGGGGGGGGGGGGGGAGGGGGGAATTTTAAGAACATACTGTGTTGTAAAGGTTCCTCTTCCCTGCATCTTTGGCGCAGGCCAAAAAGCATGACTCCGGAAACTACTTTGCTTGCAAAAACGTTCTTACCAAAAAGCACGTTTTTGTCGTGCCAGACGCTCGCGCCGTTCCTAGTGAAAAACGTCTGACTCGCAGCTAGAGGGTCGTGGGTTCAAATCCCGCCTAAAATTCTTACCGCCGTATTCTTAAACGCTACTCGACTCGAAACTCGACTCGAAACTCGACTTGAGGGGGGTTTTGCGATTCATAAACAAATCTCCACTCGAAACTCCACTCGACTCCAAAATCTCCACTCGAAACTCCAAAATTTACTCGAGATCTCGAGTCTGCGCCGGAGCTACCTTGAACGGCCACTCGAGTCACTCGAGTGCGTTCAGTGTCATGGCGGCCGACGCATCGTTCGCCGACTTCGTCGACTTCGTGTTGAGAACGGACGAAGTTCTTCATGACGACCGAGACCCCGACCAGGACGTCGATGTGCCGAGACGACGTTGGCGGGACCGGCTCAATCCGCTGGAGCATTTCAACGATTGGGAGTTCCTGGTGCGCTATCGTTTTACAAAATCGACAGTCGTAAGCCTCCTGCAGTGCCTGCCGCTGGAAGCAAACGAGAGCAGTCGCGGCCTGCCACTGTCCCCGATGCTCCAGCTCCTCGTAGCGCTGAGATTTCATGGCGCCGGGACTTTTCAAGTAGTCACGGGCGACCTCGTGAACGTGTCGCAGCCGACGGTGTGCCGCGTAATCGAGCGTGTCTCCCGGGTCCTCGCCGAGACTCTCTTCCCCCGCCTCGTGGATTTCCCGGAGGGCGACTGCGACGAGGTCATGCGGGATTTCTACAACATCGGGAAGTTCCCCAGTGTGACTGGGTGCATCGGCTGCACCCACGTCAAAATAAAGGGACCTGGCGGTCCCAATGGGGAAGTCTTCAGGAACAGGAAGGGGTTCTTCTCCCTCAACGTGCAGGTAAGTTCACTTTTGTCTGTGCTGTTAGCGGCAGCGAAGTAAGTTGAAAACAACGGCACGCCAAGACCCGGTGTGGCACGTGAAAGCTCGGCGATATTGTGACTGATATAGACTAGAACTTGTAGAGAGATCTGCACTCTGCGACAGTGCAGAGTGGTGGTGGGCCAGCTAGAGAGGGTTCAAAACCAAGAATTATGTATTGTGTTTGGAAACGTACATTTAATTGGGTGCCGAGGTGGCTTTTGTTATTTTATAGCAAACGGTCATGTTTTATAGCATTTTCCCCTTGAATTATACTTTTCGAACAAAATATTAGGGAGATTTTATCCCGTGCTCAAATTCTCTTCTATTATACTGCGTGAAAAACCTAGGAATTAAGCCACATTGAAGCTTACGTCACATAAAACTGCGAGAACTCAAATGCTAGTTAATTTCCAAAGCTTGCAGATGCACTTTGTCAAAAATATACTAATCATAGTAGAAATATCAGCTTGAGCACTTGTGTTCATATCATGGCAACCTGCTCATCCCTGTACTGCTCCTTCCTATCCACAGGCCATCACAGGACCCCAGCTGCAGTTTTTTGACCTTGTTGCTAGATGGCCAGGCTCCGTGCATGACAGCAGGATATTCGATAACAGTCGTGCAAGGGTCCTGTACGAGAATCGGCGCATCCCTGGCCTGCTGCTCGGAGATGCAGGCTATGCCTGCATGTCATTTCTTCTGACGCCCCTGACCAGCCCAGGTGTAGCCAACAGCCCAAAGGGCAGGTATGTACTAATTTGTTGGAAGAAATAATGGCATGAAATTCAGAACAGCTAACAAGAAGTGATGCTGTAGCCACAGTGTTCCTATTGGTTACTATTAGTTCTGCAAATCTTTGTCACAGCTAGATTCATGACCTTTAAGCCTTTGTATGGCAAAAAAAGCTGGCATTATTCACTTCCTGTGGACAAATTTTTGTTTCAAAAGTATGTAGCATACAACATTTTAGTTCTATTTTTATTTTCCTCGAGAACATTTGTTGTTCTTCCTCGTCACAGTTAGTCGGTGTCAATTGTTGCTTTTTGTCACTAGAATTGGACTAGGGCCAAGAACTTGAATTAAGACGGTAATGTAGAAAACACCAGCCAAAACCACTGTATGCACAGTAGCCTCTGGTAAGCAATAGAAAATGCCGAAAATGCAGCTAGCATGGATGGGCCGCACTGTACACGTTACTGAACCATACTGATGGTTGCAGCAGTGGCGATTTTTACACCTGAAGACCTTTATCTTGCAACGTTGCTTCCATTACCAATGCTGCACCATATAGGTACCAAGCAGCTCACCTAAAAACAAGGAACTCGGTGGAACGGGCATTTGGAGTGTTCAAGCGACGCTTCCCATGCCTGGACATGCGGCTACAGTACAAGGCGGAACGGTCAGCCCTCATCATCAGCGCCTGTGCTGCACTGCACAACCTGGCCCTGCTGCGAAAAGAGCCATGCCCACCTGCTCTACCCTCTCCACCAGTACCCCGACGCCGGAGGCGGCTGCGTCCTCATGTACTGCCATCACCTCCAGACCCTGTAGACACAATCAACGGCTCGCTGAAACGCACACAGATCATCGCACTGTGTTTCCAATAGGGATATTCAACCAGTAGCACATGTTTATAGTCAATGACAGGTCAAGGATAGTGTACAAGGTGGAGAGAAGGAAGCAGACAGAAGCTTGAGGTGGAGAGGAGAAAATTCCTCTCCACTTAAAGCTTTCATCCTACTTCTCATCTCCAGCTTGTACTCTGTTCTTGACCCGTCACTGACTCGTGCAAATACTCGGACACGAATTCAGTAGTAAGCGCTCGAATAAATTGATTTTCAAATCCAATTCCGCGTATTTGGTCAATCTAACATATTCTGGGAAAGACTTGTGGCCAGCACAGAGCTAACGAAAGACCTACCCTTCCCTTCAATTGTAGTGTGCTGTTTCATTCAACTTCCGAATATGCAAAACACATTAGGTTCTATCGTTTCACTACAATGTAGCGCACATAAAATAAATAAGTAAATCCTCGGAATGCTTTTAAACTGAAAAAACCCAAATTTAATTGTGATTTCCACACCCTTGTAGCTTGCAGCGCAGGGCTGCCAGCTGCTCCACCTTTATCTCTCTCTCCAGCTGGAGCAGCTGGAACTCTGCCCGTCCGCGTCGTCGCTGCTCAAAAAGCTTGTTGCGGAGTATGCGCATTTGCATTAAATGTTGCGCCTCCTTCCGCCGATCTTCCCTCTCGAGGATGTCTACACGGGCCTCCTTTTCGGGAGCCATGATCCGCTCCAGTGCTGCGATGCGGTTTCCAGTTCTTCTGGATGCCCCGCTTGGCAGCTCAGCACGGGGGCAGGTAATGCTCCTTGCCGGCGGAGTCACACAAGCAGCTCCAACGCTGCTCTCTTGGAGAGGTGAGGCGGACGGATCAGGAGCATCTGGGCGTGCAAAACACATTGGCACTGTGAGTGCTAGGGGAAGAGCAAGTACACAGGGGAAGAGCCCCAACAGCCACATGGGCCTTTCGTAGAAATGTTCAAAGCTAGGCGTTGGCAAATTAGTCAAACCTCGTTATATCGAACAGTGCAAGGACCGTGAAATAGTTCGATATACAAAGTCACACACAAAAAGAGCGTCAAAGTACAGCGCGATTTAATCAGTGAAAGGCTAACGGCAAAAAATGACTATACTTCGTTTCAGCTTCCGTTCGAGCGCAGCCAAAGGCTGACGGACGCTTCGCAACTTCGAGAAGAGCATTTTTACGCATCGCAAAGTAGTCCGCAAAAGTAATTCCTTTTAAACAACTGTTTTGTGCGTAAACGTTGCACAATACTCCAGATCTGTAGTGCTGAGAATGATTTGCAACTAAAGGAATTAAATATCTGAAGTTTAAGTTCTTATTAATATATGTAGATACATGTGGTTTGGTGAAAAAACGTACGTCTGCTGGCAACACGGCTGCAGCGCTCAGTTTTGATTTTGTTCCTGTAATTGCCGAATCATGTGCTTCGCTGCTTGTTTGTTGCTTTCCTCACCGAGTCTCTTCAAAATGTCCTTTCGCAAAGGCATGTCTGGGCGTCAGGCGCGAGAGGTCGTGATGAATGTCTACTTTTCAATTCTGCAGGAGACTCCGGCCGCGTCGTACCGCAAATGCTTTGTAAACAAGAAAAGCGTCCAGGCCACTACAATTCCCTGATACACAGCGAAATCAGGGCACCCCTTTACCTGCCGATCACATTGTACGCCAAGAAGCTGGTAGAAAGGACTGTGGCTCGAGCCCTGGTATATCCAGACAATACAAGGAAACATCAACGGCCGCGTCGTCGGGCATCTTGCAATGTCTACTTACATCTCGAAACTATGCCGGAATGCCGAACAGGTGGAAAGCTCGGACACAGACGCCAGCGGCCAGCATACGTACTGACATCCCCTGCGACTAAATTTCAGAACGTGAAAGGTCACTTTTTAAACTTGTAGCAGACGATTTCGTTGATACACCCGTAGCAGACGAAATACTCGGCGAGCGCGGGCGGCGCGGACGGCCAGCGGCGCAGCAGAGCGATACCAAGTGCAGGCGAGATCGCGTGACCAATTGCCGGCGTGTGATTGGCTCCGGCCACACGTAGCTTTGGCTGCGTTCGGACGGAAGTTGAAACGAAGTATAGTATTCACGTGAAGCGTTAAGGTGAACTATTTATTCCGACGAAAAAAACTGCCGCAGCGTAGATTGCTGCATGGAGCTGACCGCATGCCTTATTACGGCCGGCTCCACTGTCTCCAAGCAGTCCACCAGCGCCAGATCACTACCGTCGATTGCACTGCAGTAGCGGCGTAAAAGTGAGACCGTCTTCCCGACAATGTTGTAACAGGCTTTGAAGCGTTGCAGCCACCCGCTACTTGCGGCGACGTTTTGTGCTTGGTGGATGAACGCGAAGTCCTTTGCTTTCTGTTGAAGCATCGGCCTGACGCCGGAATGTTCCGAGCCCTTGCGTCCATAAACCACTTGTGAAGTGATCTTTCCACCTTTTCGAAGGCCGGTGTCCGAACACGGCGTGCGCTGGAGTGCTTGCTTTGTTCAGCCTTCGGTTTGATGTCACTTTTCGTCTTCAGCAGCGTGCTCAAAGTGCTTCGCAGTATGTTGTACGCTTCGGCAATGCTGGACTTCTTTTCTCCTTTTTCAACGCGGCGGATGATTTCAAGCTTTGTCGCGAACGTCAGCGACATACGTTTCTTTACGATTGTTGCCATCGCCACATGCGGTTGACGCAACGTCGGAGGAACGAACCCGGAGCCATGAAACTGCACGTGCCCGAATGTCGCCGAATCTGGATGGCGTTCCCGGCACCACAGGCATATGCGGGCATGCGCTTGAATAAAAGTCGCAAACGCCTGCTGCGCCACCGCTATCCTACGATGTGTTGCGGGAAAGCCCGTGTTCCAAAACTTACTTGATCTAACTCTAGGTTAAGGTTGTCGAAAACCTACCCGCGTCCAGCGTTTCTCTATTTTTGATGTCGCGTGACATAATCCGCCAGGGTAACTCGTATCCGTTCGAGTAGGTTTGGAACGCAGCCTCGGTGTGTCGCGCTCCTGTACGCTATGCACCGTTTAGTTGCTGCACTCGGAGTAGGAGGAGTAAAAGAGCGCCGTCTTAACGCGCCCACTGCCACAGATACGGTACGCCGCCAACGACGGTTTGGCGGGATGGCGGATGGCTGCGACTGCTGCTGGCGGCAGCTGCCACGACTCACTCGCTGTCGCGGAAGCGCAACGAGAAGGCACGTGATCTGTACCGAGTCTTCCCAAAATTCTGTGCCGTCGTGGCGCTGTACGCTTTGCAACAGGTCTATTAACCACTAGTTTTGGTTTCAATTCACAGTACTATCAGTACTATGTCACGACCCACTGCTGCTCGCATTTTCAATTTTGGAACTTCGAAGATATGTACAATAGTGTAGACGTTGCCGAGCAATAAAAGAAAAAGGCTTCGGTGCCTTTTTTTCTGTTCCAGATTTGCTGTTAAAATGATACAAGTCGCAAATACAAGTAGACATGTTACGGCTCACGGTACCCATCCCCGACATGTTGGTGCAAATTTGTCCCAATCCAAAACCCCCAGTTACCTGGCACGTCGTTCCAGCAGGCGTGATTGTCATTGCCTTCAGTGCCTCGCACCATTGCTTCAAACATTGCAGCCGGAGGCAGCGACAGCACTGGCCGGTCTCTTGCCCTGTCGCTGTCGCAGAGATTTGTCACCACTGTCTCCATGTGGTCTGCCGCCGCTCCCACAAGAATGAGTGAGGGGCTCATCGGCCGGCTTGTTCGTGGCCCACCTCCTGTGACAGAAACCAAAGAATTTGAAGCTCAGATTGGAGAGAGTGAACAATGTATGGGACGAACAATTCAAAGAGCACACTGAATTTTCGAAACGCCTCCGTGCGAGATAAAAACAATTGTTAAGGGGACTAAAGCGAACCTAACGAAGAGAAAATCTAGCACAACCCAGTGGAGGCCCACCTGGAACCTTCTTATGAGCAATTGAATGCTGGGCACTTTGTTAGAATAGGCTTCCGGCAAGATGCGGGGACCTCATTTGTTTTCAGTGACGATTGTAAAAAAAAAAATGTCAATAACGCCAAATGTTCTACAAAAAAATATGTCAAGAAAAAAGCAAAGAAGTAGGCCCACTTTGGATCGAACCTGGATCGGCTGCATGCGTATGAAGCGAACTTTGCTACGCTACAGCTTTGAACAACTCGTTTTGAAAATTCGTTTTATACGAGACCCGGAAAGGAGCACGACGTCGTGCACATAGCATTGTTCTGGTCGAAAGGACTTCTCTCCGATGTTTACTTTTTACACATCGGGAACGGTTTACCAAATATGCAAATTGTCGACTTACCCGTGGCGTGGATGTCTCTCGTCTCGTCGGACTTGGTTTTTTTGTATCTGGATTTTTCGTTCTCCCAACGCTTCTTGAGTTGCTTAGCGCTTCGTGGGCGGACGTTTGGCTGGCTGTTATACTCGGTGCTGAGTTTCTCCCAAGCTTCAAGTTTAGCCTCCTTCGAGTAGTTATTTGTCTTCTTGTTTTCAAGAACTCGCGCATGTTTCGTTACGAGCGCTTGGAGGAGCGCCTTCTCCTCCGCAGTATAAATAAAACGAGCCCTTGCCCGCTCTTCGGTATCGGCCATTTCCGAGTCGTTGCCGTTGGGGTCCTCCATGATTTGTCGTGCGAGGCGGCGAGGCGGCGAGGCGACGAAGCAGGGCTGCACGGTAGACAAAGGGCGGCGAAAGCAAGAAAAAACGAGACGAAATCGACAAACCGTGAGATTACGACTGTCGACGAGAGAACGACAAGACGCAGCTAGCGAATGCGCTTGTTGCCAGACAAGGTAACGACTTTGTCCGTTTTGCCACTCAAACACGTCTAAACTTTACGCTGCCTTAATAAAACTTCGTAGTTCATTGATTCGATGTTTGTATGGTACACGTTTTTAGATAACACGAACGAATATATTTACTTTTCACGTAAAAATGGTGTTTTAAATAAAACCTTTGGCTATAATCTCGCTCCCAGACGTCCTCAAGCTTGTTGGAGTGGAGAACGGAATCTCGAGTTCGAGTGAGTGCCGATTCGCGTCTGTGAATACCAATGGCACTTCGAGTGGAGTCGCGCGTCCATACTCCACTCAAGTCGAGTCGAGTTTGGAGTCGAGTAGGGGAATACGGCGGTTAATCTTTTTTTCTTTAAGGCAAAACAATTACTTTCAAAAGTGAAATCATTTGAGACATACGGCGACCTTTAATTCGCGTTACAAGTCATGTTTTAATCACTCCCATTCCAAGCGTGATGTCACGTTTCACGTGAGTATTGTGGGTTGCTTGAAATTCTTGGGCGAGGGTATGTAGCTCTGACGTCTTGAACCTATCGACCAATCAGGATTTTCCAGTAACGCCACCGACATCGGCTTTTCTGTGACATGAGCTCATTAACGCTATCGAGTTAAAATCATCAGTTAGCAAAGGTGATGCTCATTTCCAAATTAAATTAACCGGCATCTTGTCAAGAACAAACCTCAACAGCCAGGCTATGCCAGCTTATTCTGCATAAGAAAATGTTCACTTGGGCAAGTGCTATTTTGGGCCAGATTCGATTTGAGTGCGAAGGTGCGAATAGATTAGAGTGAACAATTGCGATTACTTCTTGTTGCATGATTAGTGGCATGCATGCGGTGCTGAGTGTAAACAATGTTTGGTTAGAACAACAAGCGCAGTTGGATTGCCGCTTGGTGTTTCTAAAAAAAAATAGACTGAAAGGAATTATCCTAAACCTTTTGTTACATTCTGAGAATTTCATCGCTTTTAGCTCAGTTGTGTCGTAATCATATACATATATATTGTGAAGTGTATTTCGTAAACCTTATTTCATTATTAGCATGAGCACGAGGGGCTCATTTCATAATTTTATGTGATGTAATTAATTCCTTAGTTTAAGGACACAATCACAATTTCATTTTAACACTGCGACACAAAGTTGTACCAATCACGGGTATTTTAGACGACCTACCACACTTTGCGACAACATTTTATACCGTGTAAATAGATCAGCTTGAAATTTAGAATTTTAATTAAACACGAAGAAAGCACAATAAAACACTGTATAGTTCTAAATTTGAAGCTGATCTATTTACAGGTATGTACCAACCAGCTCAACTTTTTACTCTTGTACTTAAACATTTTGATTCAGGTAAAATATATGTTACTGGTGAACAAAGGGATGTGGAGTCATATGAACACGACGTTATGTATGGTAATGTAGATTTTTTTCTACTGTTGCGTCGAAATTAAATAACTGAATTTAATATTTTTGGTACCTAAAAACAAAAGTAAATTGCACGGACGATCGAAGAAACTATATAGTTAATCGTTTCATGGCGTAAATAGTGTATATTGCCAGAACAACGCTAAAAATATATTCTTAATTTAGCGGTTCAAACCGGTTCGAACCGGTTCGAACCGGTTTGAACCGTTATTTCTTGCTCCCCGGAGCTGAACCGGAACCGAACCGAAAGCCGTGAACCCGAACCGGAACCGAACCGATAAAAATTTCGGTTCGACACTCTGGGCCAAATTTACACGTTCTGTATCATGTTTCGTGCTACGATCTGACTTCCGTTTGTCCAGCATTTCATCTTGCCCAGGTTGAATACATCATGGGATTACATTTTTTATGTCTCGGTTAACTTTAGTTTGTATCTCCCGTAGACAGAAACGTTTGCTTTTACTGGACGATGGGTGTAAGACGTTGTCAAAGTTGAAAAATAAGAAGCTTGCCTTGAATCCCGTACTCATGCGAAGTTGCCTCACTGTCTTCCCAAAGAGTCTATAGGCTAGAAGGTCAATAGGGGTTATCAAATTCTATACTGGAAAGCACCAAATATGACATATTTGTGTATAAGAAACCATTCTTCAATATAGTTCTGCGATTCAAAAAACAATATTAAACTACAAACAATTATATATATATAAATATTCAACGAGCATAACAAATTGGGATCAGGAAACAAAAGTGCACGGATCAAATTAATATCTAAATAATCAAGAAATAGCTCTATGCGCAAACCTACGATATGGCCTGAGAAGCACAAACAATATCAGAAACCTTCAGCTGTACATAATTAAAAACAAAAACCGAAACACTACATGCAATAGTCATTTCCACTACAGTAAAATGCCCAAATCATTAAGAGAAACCAAGACCACTGAAAACAAACTACGCTCTAATATTTCGTTTATACTGCGGTATTGAAACTTGATAATTAATTTCGAGCTTCTCGCGTTTTATGACTGTTTCGATTTGAAAAATATCTTTTTCGCCGATAGTTCGCCCTTCCACTAGGTACTTTGCGTTTTGGACGCCGCGTGTTATACATTTTCGTCTCCTGGTGTCAGGATATATTTCAATGGCTTAATTGCAGCAGTTTGAAATGATACATCTGATCAAAGTGGATGAGTGCGCAAGTTTTTATCATCTCCGGTGTAGTTTTCGAACAACCTTAAAACTTCTTTTTGTACAGTTAATTTATTATAATTTAAAAAGGTTGTAGAACTTCATACCAAAACTGAGTAACTTAATTTAGAGTAAAATAAAAAGTAAGAGATATTCTTTTTTAACCAGCGCTAAACAAAATGTATTTGTTATTTTATACATAATGGCAATAGCGTTGCACAAATCGGCTTTTAGCTTCTTTTTTTTTTCGTTACAGTTGAATTTTACTAATACGGTCGTCCTTAACTTGACATGTTGTCGTTGAAGAACCCTTTTAATCTTTCCTATGGTGAAATTATCAAAGATTTCAACATTTCTTAACTTGCGAGACTTCTACCGAAATACTTTATACATTTTATTTACTTCTTTTAAAATGACTATGTGCTTTTAATATCGATTAACCGTTTACACATTCCTTTCTAGCTGCTGTTGTGCTTAACTTGCATAATGTATCAAGTTTGCACAGCACCCATAATAGATTATTTCAAGGTAGCAACATCTGCGATCGAAATATTGTGCACAAAGCATGCCCGTCGATCTCGGATCACAGGAAACGGTACGTTTTTCGCAGAAAGGAGAGAGTGTCATGGAGGTGGTGGCGAACGAAGTTCAGCAGCTTCCTGTACTAATGCGGGTGCCACGCCTCAACGCGGGAGAACTTGCAGTTTGCGAGTCTCAGTTCTCGATCCTTGGCTACGGGGACATGATAATACCAGGTGAAACTGAGCGAATGAAAATCTCTTGCCAAAATACAAGAGAAGTTAGCTGAGCAAAAGGCCGTTGCCTTGTTTTCCGTTTCCAACAGGGTTGGCGATTTCTTACTGTCGGTGCTTTGACGTGCTGGTGAAAGATTATTCGCCCTACTTCATCTTGTCGATGACATGTGAGTATGACCGCGACATGTAAATGGTGCAGCAAAGGGTATGAATACCGAATTTCAAAATAATTTGATATTTTCTCCTTTCCTCGTTTGCACAATTGACTTTATTGTAAAGCTGTTAATCGTAAGACGCTTATTACCAATCTTCCTCTGACTTGCGTGGGTATGCTTCGATGTCAATTTACTCCCGAATCAATGGTACAGTTTTATAATACTTGAGCACGTGTCTCATGTAGAATGTTGGATACTTATGTGTGTTCATAAAATCAGTTAATGAAAATGCTCAACTCGATATTCCCTGAAGGGGGAGAATGATGCGAGCTATTGCTACATCCTGTAGTTTCTGTAGGAGAAAGTTGGAATGCCATGGCACCAGATCGTTGTGAGAAAATAATTTTATTTAAAGCAGTCTTAATTTTCGACATAATTGACCGATTGCTCAGGGCTACAGCAACATGTCCGTGAGAATTATGTTGTGACATACCAAAATTTTTGCAATAAACTAGAAGTCTCATGTTTTGGAGGTTTTGCTTTCTGAACCACATCCCGATGACCTGACATCAACCGACCGAATTTAGAAAGCCTTTTTTTACTCTACACATGCGAGTTTTAACTCTCTGTGCGTATGTACGTGTGTGTTTGCCTGTGGGTTGCTTGCGTACGTTCGCACGTCAAGTCGTGCCGCTATCTTTCACGGCGTTTTTGTCACGGCAATTTCTGTCATGGCGAACTTTTCTGTCATGGTGGATTCATGTAACGACTCCATTCACATTACCCTGTCTCCCACAACTTTTTCATGCATTTACTAGACATGCCTCAGCTCATTTACTTAATTATAAATATATAAACAGCACATTTCATTGCGATATAGTCCTAATATAAAATAAATTCTAAAATCCCTATACTAGGCAAGCTTAAAGTGGCAATCAAAAATTTCCATGAAGTGAGTATCAATGTATTCAATGAAAAATTGATGGACACCATTAGCTTGCATTAATTAAAATATTGATGTGGTCAGGCCAGATCACGTGCACCCTCTACCTTTAAAAATACCAAAAAGAGCACGTGCACGTCCGGCAGCCGCACAGCCACACTCGCGATGCCCCGCAAACTGCACTACAGTCTGTTCCCGAGCGCTGTCCGGGCATAGATGATTCGTGTAAATTAGCCAAACGAAGTGCAATAAAACTGTTTACAGAGGTGTCTTTAAGTCATTCATTTTCTGACTCAAATGTAATGAATATAGGTTTTTGAAAAAAACAAAAAAACAATCCAAGCCGAAACATTTTTGTCAAACTTATGCTCAAAGATAAATAGAAAAAAAAGAAGAAAAAAAAAAAAAAAAAAAACGTCTGCTTGACGTTGATTACAGACTATAACACACATGCTCGGATCTGGTAGATCAGCTTGCGGTTACTCACTCTAAGAAATTGTTTTTCAGAAACCCACGATCATGAAGTTTCAGGATAAACATTTCACCATTTTAAGACAACTTGATAAAAAGTTCTATCTCACTCTGTTCAATGGCTCATCTATACAATTTCTTTATGCTAAAATAGCTCTCAGAATCACCTTCTATATTCAAGTTTGCCGAGGATTGACAGCTATCAATCCTCGGATATAGGAAGCCAAACTTCCCTGCCTATTGGCGGTGAGATGCTTCTGTCTGGGACGTCAGGACCAAGATTATCGATTGCCAGAGACAATTTTGATAACGTGTGTAAAATGCACGGTGCACGTTCAAAGTCATCGCGTCCTTAAACTAGCACTCTCGAAGTTGATAGTCTGAAATCGCTCTTATTTTAATTAGTAAATGCAGAATGCCTCAAATCTAGTACGTCATAGCTAGCGTTTGGCCAATCGTTGAAGGCCGACCGCAGCGCCGCTTTTGGTCGCGCATTTCCTTACTAGCTCTCAGTCAGACCTGCATCATGGTATGGCTAAGAGGGCGTAGATGCTTTGTTCAGGCTCCATTTCCATTGTAACTTTTGATTAGTACTGTGCGCGTGCACAACTTTCCCCGCGCTGCCAATGCAGGCTACGGCTTGTCGTTGGTGCTGGCCTTTGTCGGTTCGGTGCTCATGAACACCGGACAGCCCGCTCTCCTCTACCTGGTACCTGGTACGCTGGTCCCGGTCATCATTGTATCGTGGTGGCGAGGTGAATTCCAGGATTTCTGGACCGGCAAGTTTGTACGTTAATATCTTTGAATTTTTAATAAGCTTTTAACACAGAGTTATATAGAGTCGCTTGATATTTGAAATAGAAAGTTCGGCCATGTGGAGGTAAGTAACTGCCTACAGTCAGTTACAGGATAAAAACTCGGTATATACTCCGCCTCCAGCATGCGCTCGTTGCCTTCCACCGTTTTTCGGCTGCACGTGCGACGACGTTCTATCGTAGACCAAAAGCTCTTGCTCGAGGCAGGTTATCTACTGGGTTGTTAATCTGTGACCGACTAGAATTAACACGAGGGATCAGAAGACGGAGCTCTAGGTAATGTGCTAGACGGGCGACTGCCCTGCTCACACTGAATGGGAGTATCGGAAAAAATTATGTTGACACTACTATTTCTTTTTATTCGGAAGGAATTAGGCTTATTGATAAACTTATCTCAAGAACTATGAAAGTAATAGACTCGTGGAAAGTCGTTTCCTGAGTTAATACTTTTATTTGTAACAAAATACGTGGTCCAAGAAACGCATAACATCCTTATAGGAACAGTATTATATAAGAAGAATAAGAAACTTATCTGGTTTTTCATACCTTCATATGTACTTTTGTATGGTTCTTATATGTTTTTTATGTGACCTCATCTGATATTAGAGAGTTTTAGTAGATCGTTCTGATACCTCCGATAGCCCCGATAACGATACTATGCATGCGCGAGGGAGGCGGTGGCGGAGTTTCGGGTATCGTTATCGGAGTCATGGGAAGGATCTACTAAAACTCTCTAATATCTATTTATTGGACCAAGAAAGCTTTCATACAAATATAATTTTGCATTAAACTTGTAGCGCGTGAATCGTTTCTAAAATTTGGGTGGTTGTAAATTAACCGATCAAATGAAATCCAACAATGCTGACAATCTGGGGTTTACGCTGATGTTCTTGAAACAGAAATAACAAGATAAAAACGTGCAACTCTGTATTCTCTTGTCATGACGCAGAAGCCAAAACCGAGCCTGCAAACCCGGATCGACATCTGGGCCTCCACGAGCGAGCAGTTTCAAATGATTCAGGGCCGGGGTCTACTCTACGTCAGCACGCCAGTGATTGAATGGATGGCCATTCCGCTGCCTGTGTCAGAGAAGGCCTACAACGCCCAGTGGAATTGAGATACCGGGAGGCTTTAGGCTTAACACGAATAGTGCAGCGGATGCAGTGCTAGTCTTTTTTCTTTATTATTACACAGCAGAGGATAACTTTCACCTAGTATTGTATTATACCATCATAAAACGTTTATAAAACTGTGAATATAACGAATATAAATGCATTAACAAAACATGGTGTCAATTTTTATGTGCATTGCTTTTGTAGGAATAAAGAACAGATGGTGCAAGAATTTACATTTCAAACCTGGAACTAGCTGCTTGCAAAAATAAACAATAGACTAATCTCACCAGCCAGTCGTCTACACTGCCACTGCGGCGATAGATCCAGGGAACTTTTAGTCTTTTTGCACGCGCAGAGCACCTTGCTGGAGCTCTGCGCGTGCAGAGCATCAGACGGAACGAGCTGTCTCGTGCGCTGGCACCTGCCTCCTGCGAACTAAAGTTATGGCAGCGTCACGCATCCGCCGAACGCTTGGTAAGATCGGTCTATTGGCTCGGTTAATTGGCGTACCACTGCTTTTGAAAGAAGAAGATACCCGTTCCTTTCCACGTTAGTAATCAACGACCCTTGGGCAGGAACAGACAGAGACATGGCCTCCGTCCTTTCACTCACGGCTTCCATCCAATTCTTCATAATTTCTACCTTTCACGTGAGTGAATATTTTATTTTTTTCCTTCGGAAAGCCTCTGGAGTTGATACGTCCCAAGCGCGATTCCGTGCTTCTAATGTAGCTTTTTAGCTGACCAGCACACTTCCTAGAGCCTTGTCTACCTCGCTCATTGTATGTTTTACCGACTCGTGTATTTTTTGCTCAGTCATCGACTGGAGCTTAATTCCCTTCACAATGACCCAGTTTTTGTCAGAACCGATGCAGACTGGGAAGCTGTAGACAATTCCATCAGGCACTCCATACGAACCGTCGCTGGCAACGCCCATGGACACCCAGGTGCCGTCAGGCGTTCCCTGCCACCAGTCGTGCATGTGGTCGCAGGCTGCCTTGCCTTTGGACAGGGACGGATATTTCTTGCGGGCGTCGTGCACGGCGCGGCCCCTGCTGCAGACGACGTCGGAAAACTCCTTCAGAAAGTAGTCGTCATCCTTGACGCTCTCGGTGACCGCCACGACGGCGTCCCTGTGGTGAAAATAGGCGTTGTACGCGTCCGGGATGTTCTGGAGACCACCCCAGACGATGACGTTCTTCACCTTGTTGGGCGCGACCGAGAGCTTGGCGGCGATCTGCGCCAGCGCCTGGTTGTGTTCTAGCCGCGTAAGCGCGGAGATGTTCCGACGATCGATGGATGGTGCGCTCCGCATGCAGACGAAAGCGTTGATTGGCGCGTAGGTGCCGCAAACGACTGCCTTGATTGTCTTCTTAGCGTACGTTTCGAGAGCGGAGCCGTAGCGCCGGAAGAGTTTAACGCCTTCCTCGACTGGCATGGCGGGGGCCTCGTAAAGCAGGAAGGCGGCGTCGATGTCCGTAAAGGCCGAGTCATCGACCGTGGTCATGAGCACCTGGCGTAGTAGAGGGAAGGTACAATCGAGCAGTTCGAGGACTATGCCCTCGAGCGTACTCATGGTTCCCTTGGCGTCTAGGAGGTGCAAAATGACCGGTTGGTCGAAGCCGAACACGGTACCCTGGGCAATGGCCCATGATATGGTGTGTGCCATCGCGGTGGTTCCGCTCGTCACTAGGACCCGTAGGAGTTCTTTCTTGGGCGCCTGGTCAATCTTGTCTGGGTTGCCGTGGACCTGCGTTGGTACCTCGGACATGGTGGATAGCCTTTGGCGTGTCCCGGGCTGCCTTTGAAACTGAACGCGTGCTTTTGGCTCGCGCGAGCGCCCGTGACTACCGGTCGCGCTTCGTCGGTCAGGTCGGCACATTGCATCTCAAGTGACTGAAGAGAAACGTCAAAAGTAAGCACGTTTTTTTTTGTTTTTTTTGCTACTTTTTGAATTTCAGCTTAATACACCTAGCCAGAAACGTAACAGAGCCTTTTGAGTATTAATATATGGAAGCGAGCATCCCGACAAAGATGAAGCGGAAGCGGGTTCCCGAAGAAAAAGAATGCACGTGAAGGGGATCAAGGCCTAGCCATGAGTGGACGATGCCAGACATTCCTAACGTCTGGCATCTCTACAAAAAGCTATTGTTGACCCCATCAACTAACGACTTGTCAGCCGCTCTTACATCGTGGTACCGAACCCCAGGAGAAGCTATGACGGAACGGTGAGTACCTGACTGAACTCAATGAAATGTCACAAGAGCCAACGTACTACCAACGATCGACCGGCAACATGAACGAGACACCAAGCGACGTATCGGACGGCCGAGAAATTATCACCCTCAGCGATACCGACATTCAACCCCTTGTCCAACAAAGATCTGCATTGCGCAATAAGGTAACGAGTCTGATTATCTTGAGAACGCAATGCCAGAAACAACGACATGGAGGCAATTTAAACAAAATCATCGAGAGGCTGCTAACAAACTACGATTGTCAACTGAAATGTCTAGAGTCTAGACATATCAGTTGACAATCGTAGTTTGTTAGCAGCCTCTCGATGATTTTGTTTAAACTGTCTCCATGTCGTTGTTTCTGGCATCGATGGCATTGTCTAGACCCTAAACGATGCCATCGAACCTTTCACACCAACCAGAGATCTCGAAAAGCAATTCACCATCGTCATAGAACTTAGTTACCGCATCATTGAACACTTATCATTGCTGAAGTTCAAAGCTCAGCTTGCGAATGAGCGGATGGCACAACCAGAGAACGCCGAGGAAGAAAAATTGTACTCGAGCTATCCTAATATGATGAATCTGACCACTATCAGACATTATCTCGTGATACCAGGTCAACTTCACGTAACCACTTCTACCAAATATTACGAAGTCGGAACTGTCTCCGTTGTGGCCGCCAACTACGCCGACGACCCACTGGTCACAGAAGACCAACCAGACCAACAGACGAGCAGCGACCGCAGCGACAGGTCTTACTAACACTCGATTGTGCGTCTGTTGCGTGTAAACGACATCAGCAAAGACTGGTGTATACATGCTGACCGACAAACAGGTCATAGCCGGTTAAGCGGGAAAATGTGAGGAAGGTTGTTATGTTGATGGTCATACCAAAAGGGAACACGGTGAACTAATAAAACAAAAGAAACAAGCAAACAAGAGAAATTCTTTGAGGTAACGAAAAACAAAAGGGGACATCGCTTCAGACGAAGTATTCATCAGAAGAAGCAATGTTGTACAAAAAGCGGAGCAAGCAAGAAATATGACGCGACTAGCAAGAGCTCTAAAAGAAACGATAAAAAGGGCACATCACGGTTCTTTAACGTGGACTACGCAGTAGTGACACACGACTGCACGCCGGTACGATGCTCGTTCAGATCGAAACGGGCAGAGGTGAAGATTGAACCCAGGATCCCTGGATTTTTCCGCGCGAGCTTTCGCTCCACGTGCTCCGAGCTGGTATGCGCTACCCCAGTCGGTTACCAATCCCCCTTTTATGCGGGGGAGTGTGTTGAAACTTATTATATGAGGACGGGCATTCCGACAAAAGAGAAACGGAAACGGGATCCCGACAAAATACGTAGTATGCACGTGGAGAGGATCGAGGCCTGGCCATGAGCGAACTATGCCGGTCACTTATAATGTAAATGGCAGCTGCACGTAATCACGTAAACACTGTTGTTGACCTCATCGAGCAACGACCAGTAAGCCGTTCTCACAACAGAGCCTTCCAGAAATGCAGTCTTGCCAATAAGTCTTCTTTAATGTTTGTATGCGGCATGGTCTCCAAGATTGCTGGCGGATCGTCAATCTTCAACTTGTTTTTTCATCAGCCAGGTCCCGATAAAGGATGAAGTCGAAGACAGTTTAAAAGCACGTGGATGACTCTCGTGTTTTTCGAAACGTTTACTTGTACGACCTGAAAGTGCTTTTTGTTACGACATGCTCCTCATGTGGAATCCATCTCCTCGCCCTATATGCGCAAATTAAAGGGGTACGGAAACGAAAAGCTTGTGCTTATTTCTTTGTTTAGATGTCGACTATGTACCAGTAGCCCAGAAACACTAGCCTAGACTAGTGTCCGCGGCCTGCCAGCACAGAACTAAAGAGAAAAACAAACTTTAAAACAAATTACCATAGTTCAAAATTGCGACTGGTGGTGGTCTGTGAAGCTCCACTGGAATGCCGCCAAGTCATCGGCCTTTAAGAAGCACAGCCAGTTCACGGTAGTATGGCTCGATCGTGGAGTTACTTAGTCCTGAATGCGACTTGGCGGTGAACGCTAACACGTTTACTACTACTACGTTGTAGATGTTAAAGAGGTACGGAAACCACATTCTGGAGCTCATCTGTTTGCTTAAAGAGGCAGTGCAACGATTTTGATGTTGAAAGAATTTACCCTTTGTATTTTTTATATTGCCTATCGTTCCACAAGTAAACGAAAACATGCATTTTCCCCAAAATACAGCGAATCCGCTGCGTAATCTTAAAAAAAAATAAAAAATAATTATTTGTAGATCTGCAGCAGCGTGTGGTGGTTACAGAAACTGGCATGTGACATACTCTTGAGGATGTCGTTTGTAAGTTTGCGATTTGAGTAATTTTTTGCTCAAGTTACGTTTTTTTTTAATTGTCATTTGAGTATTGTCTCTAAAATATATTAGATTGTTCTGGCGCAATCTACCAGAACTGAAAAGGCGTTTGAACTAAAAGAGCGTCAGCAAAATCCACGTCCTGTTCGCACTGGGAGCGGAATCACACTGGCACCACGTTCTTGCTAACCTATTGGGGAACGATCTTTACGATGCATTTTAGTAAACCGCCGGGTCACTAAACAATCGCATTTAGATGCTGACGTGACGTTCGGCAGAGAAAGATTGGACCTGTATTTAGTAGCTCCCAAGAACTGCTCTAACTTGACATGTGTTGGCGTACCGTCATGTCGGAATAAAATGGACATACTAAAAAAAAATATATATATATATACGTACCCATGTTGCGACAGAATTCCATATGGCGTTTATATGAGCTTTATAACACACACAAAAAAAGAAGATATAATCGAGGAGAGTCGTCCATTTTAACGAGAGCGTTCGACAGCGCTGCATGTGAAAACCAGCTGAACGACGGACGAGGGGAACGAATGACCTTCTTACGTCAAAATCGAGGTCAGGGTTCAAACTATTCATAGGAGAAGGGTATACACAAAGGTCGCGTGGGCATATTTCATTCAGCAAATCAGCCGGTCGTGTATTATGAACCTTGGGTCTTGTCCCGCTTCTTCGGAGCAACATTGCGGCGGAGTGCCTTGTTGTATATTTTGAAGTTTCGATTCGGTATCCCTTAAATGGGGTACGGAAACGAATTTTTTTTCCGTACCCTTTTAGTGCAGAGCACGTAAACTGTCCATAGTGAGGCAATAGTGAGGAAAACAAAAGTGCCCTTAGCGAGATTCTCACCGAGAATAGGCCATAGGGCGTGCAGTCCTCGGATATCACTACTAGGCGAAATTGTCCAGCGTTCACGCCACCAAGCGGCAATGCTCGCAACTACAGTACCCTTACCGAGCGCGATACGCAGTGCGCTTCTCGCTGGCTGACTTTGAGGCGAGGGGTCGAGAGTTCGCGCTCACGCCATTTCGTTTCCGTACTCCTTTGAAATGGGTCAATTAAATTATGATGTTGATCAGTTTGTGCGACTTTAGAGGGGTACGGAAGCGAAATGTTTGCACTTATTTCTTTGTTCAGGTGTGGCCTATGTTGTGCCGCTAGCCCAGAGGCACTTGCCTCGAAGAGTGCTTCTGGGCATGCCAGCAGAAAAGTGAAGAAAACCAATTCTAAAACAAACAAACAAACTTCGAAATTGCGTCAGGTGGCCGTCTGTGAAGCTCTGTTGAAATTCCTCCAATTCATGAGTTCCTAAGAAGCAACACCAGTTCGGGGCAGTATGGTTCGCTCGTGGAGTTACTTAGCCCTGAATGTCACTTGGTGGAGAACGCTAACGCGTTTACTACTTTCTTTGTGTTAAAGCTTCCACATATCTTCCGAAACGTGCATTCAACACCGTCAATATCGCGGTTCTTCGTAGGCGTCGCCAAACTCGTCGAACACAAAGCTGGGCCTGAAGTTTGCGGAACGCGTTAATTGGCCTCTCGCAACGCTGACTTCGCGCCGAGCGAGGTGTCATTCATTAGAACGCTCAATCGACCGATCCCACCAGCAAGTTTGACTACGCCACCGCTGCCGCAATGCATCGAAGGAACTTTAGTCTTTCTGCGCGTGCGACAAACTCACTGGAGCTCTGCGCGTGTAGAGCACGAGACGGCACGAGCCCCCTCGTGCTCGGCCGGTTGTCTCCTGTGAACTAAAGTTATGGAGGCGTCACGCATGCGCCGATCGCTTGGTGAGATCGGTCTATTCCTCGAGATCGGCAGAATGTAGCAAAGTTATCAAGGCGCGCGTGGAGCGCGCTTATCTGAACATCTCGCCCTCGCCAATTGTGGGTGGTCCTCCATAAAGCCAATCAGAATATTCAATTGTATGGAAAACACACGCGGTTTTAATTTTCTAGATTTTGAAAGAGCCGGTGAAGCGGATGGAGCTAGAGCCACTCTATATGGCAGCGTAGCTGCCAGAGTAGCGACACGACGCTAAATTATCTAGACGCACGACGTCAGAAGCACCGATAGTCATCTCCCTTTTGGGCCGGGGAAGTTGCCATGGTAACAGTGCTGCTTGCGACGCCGGACGGC